AGCATTATGACGCGTGTGACGCAGTCACGCAGATAGGTTACAGAAGTAGGCTGGACTAAAATCTAACTGTTTTCAGGTAGTCCAGGAGCAGAGTTTTCTGTGGGAGATGGGAACTCCCTTTGGGCTGGACTTTGGGCGAAACCAACGTGGTACCAAATGACATCTGCACTTGTGTGTTCACTGTTGTTTTGCCGGGTTTGTGTCCACTGTATCCACTGTGTCAGTATTTATATAGAGTTTCTATGTGTGGGAAACACATGCCTTTATAGGATGACCGCTATGACAATCTATTAATCTTCTCGATTAATTAAATTAATTTAAAAAACAAAACTGAAAAACTGCAATTCACAATTTCTCAAAGACCAACGTCCAAACTGGGTTGACTAAGCTATAGTTACTAAGCTGTTAGTCAATGAAAACAGTCTTAGTGGACAAACCTTTCATTAGTTGGGTAATTGCATTAAAAACCCCAACCAAACAAACAAAACCACAACAACGCTAAAACCTCTAACTCCATTCAGGAGCTGCGCCTTGTCAACCGGACAAAATCCTGGGATTGTTGCAACACAGAAAGTCACTTACTGGCACACTTCTGCTAACTCTAGCTGCTATAGCTAGAGTGCCGCTAACTCCAGTTAACAGAGCTTAGCTAATTAGCTCGGTTAGTGGCTCTACCCAGACTGGGAGCTCAGAGTACCAGGGGAGTGTTGGTGTTTCTTTACACCACCAGCAGAGGACCTTACAGAGTTAACTATGTTAAGTGCCCTGGAACTAAAACATCTGTTGTCCCCCTCCAAAAAATGTATTTTTAATTAAATTTATACCATAAACGTGCTACCCCTAGACTATTAAAGGAGACCTATTATACTGCTTTTCCAGTCCTATATTGTAGTTCTGTGACTCCTGTATGGCAGCTTTACATCATTCAAAGTTCCAAAAAATATACTGACTCTTCATGTAAGCCTTCATTTCAGCCTCTGTCTGAAAAAAGCTGTCAATGCTCCTGTCTCTTTAAGGCCCCCCCCCCTCAAAGCCCACTGTCTTCTGATTGGCCAAGAACTGAAGCATGTTACCAGGCTGTTGTTACTGAGCAGTACAGACAGACTGAGCATTGCTGTGTCGTTGCTGTGCGGAGCAAATGACCATATATGGAACTCTGGCTCCGTATGTCGTAGAACGGAGCCGTTGGTAGAAAAAGCAGTTGAAAACTGAGCGTTCAGAACAGGAGGAAATCTGAGGTTTGAGCTCACAGGGATTTCTGTTAAATACTTTAACCTCATTTTTTGAAGCTTTGGCCATGTTTAACATGAACATCCAACATTGTAACAGTGTAGATAAGTCATAAAATATGGAAAAGCATAATAGGTCTCCTTTAGTGGCTTGAACCAACTACTAGCCGACTAGTAGTAGCCATGGGCAGCCCTAGTCCAAATCATTATAAATGTAAAATAAATTGAAGATTACAGGGTATTTTTCAGTGTGTCATACTCACAAAGATAAACATTTGAGCAGGTGGAGAATGAGTTTAATAGTAACAAAATACTACATTCTCCTGAGCAGTTTATACAAATGAAACAACAGGAGCCATTCTCTCTGATCTATTACACTCGAAACGATCAAGAGCGTCTAAAGACCCAACAGAGCAGGAAGCACTTCGGCTCACAATCTGTAACCATGTAAAAACACACACGGCCAAAAGACTCGACAGACACTGGGAAGATCTCATGGCATGTGTCATGGCGTGAGATATATTGAAGGTTAAGTATTTTCCTGCTGGGCTTTTGGTCTTAGTCTTCAAACTGCACATTACATTTATCATGACTGAGCTGAAGCACAAAAACAGTCAGTGTGCAGATGCCACGTCTGACTTGGTACGTTGTAATTAAAGACCTTTTAGGGAACTTTAAGCGTTGAAGGTTCCATATCAGCATAGAGGAATTTGATTTATTGACAGCTTGGAGGCACGGGGGGGGGGGGGGGGTGAATACAGTATGAGGTTTCCAACTTGCTGTGTGCAATTTGCTGTCTCAAAACACATATTTTTTTTAGAACTTTTGACAGCTTTGAAGTCCATCAATTTCTCACAATAGGTCCCACAGTTCTTAAGAGCTAACAGAACACCAGAAGGTTTCAAAACCCCAAATAAGTTTCTAGAGTTCCTAAAAAGGTTCCAGACCCAAAAAAAATTTCGAAGCCCCCAGAGGTGAAAACTCTGTTCACAATAACATACGATTTAAATTAGGTTCTTGTTCCATATAGGAAAGAACAGTTTTGCAAAGTCATTCATACATCTAGCAAAGACGTTTCTGAGCTTCCGTGCATTGGTACGTAAACATCATCCTAAAATATTCTGGAGCAGAATCTTTATATTCACATTTCTAATCTTCTGCAAAGTCGAGACTCCAGTCTGATCACATGGTGCCAAACATAGTTATACAATATTAGATGACATATTTCATAATGTTGTTCTCCTTATTTTCTTAGTTTCAATATTTTCAAATAAAAATGTAAATTTCACTGACAGGTAGCAACAAAACTGACTCATGTCACATAGGCCTGTTGTTATTTTTATAAAAAGGGGTAATAGGTAATAGTTTATAAACTCAGTATTACAAAAGTATTTCATGACTGGTAAACAAAGACCAATTTACACAGCTGGCCTCCACAGTAGCTGCTTGGAGTCACTTCAAACTTGCAAATCATTAACATGTTCAAGTTTGATCCCTAACAAAGAACATATTCTTTCTATCTGTTCCATCATGGAACTAGGGCTGCAACTAATGATTAGTTTTATTGTTGATTTATCTGCTGATTACATTAAGCTATTCATTAACTAGTTTTTCTTGTCTATAAAATAAAATAATAATAAAACTACGGCTTCCCACAAGGTTGCATCCCAGGTGACATCTTCAAATACCTTCCTTTGACCAAACTGAAGAAAACACACAATGGGGAAAAAATCCCATTGGAGAAGCTGGAAGCTGAGAATTTTGGCAATTTCTTTTACAAAATGACTCGCTTATCAAAATAGTTGCAGATTAATTTTCTATCAACTGAACAATCAAACTGTTCAGCTTGTCAGCAAAAAATGATTGATAACGTCTATCAGAGGCCAGTTAAAAGAAGATTACTGCAGTGAAAAGTAAAAACATGTTGACCAGTATTCTTTAGTCTGATGTCACCAACAGACAGTATTTGATGCCACTTCCATGCATAAACAATTAATTATTATGCTAACGTCTTTCCGAATTTCATCACGGCAGAGTGGAAACGCCTTTGAAACAGAATTAGAACCATGAGACAACTAAATTCTCCCCTGAAACCAGACTAATGACTCTTTTGCAGCAGGGCACTTACTGGATGATGGAAGAAACGCAGGGATACAGTCAGAGCCAACACAATTAGTTGATTCAGTGATTAGTTCATTGGAAGAATATAATCTGCAACTTATTTCATTTAAAATCTACAATCAAGTCACTGTGATGGGCTTTTTCACCATTTCTGGACATTTTATTGACCAAAAAATGATCAGCGGAAATCAATTGTGGATGAACTGATAATGCCCTGGATGCATTAATGTGAAAAAATCTAATTGGAGTGCAGGTACTCCAGACAGTCTGCATGCAACCGTCCAGTGTGGAATCATCAACAAATTTATGTAGTCATCCCTGATTTAGATATGTTAGTAATTAATTTAAATCAATTTACATCCAAATCTGGACAATTTTGAGCTTGTGACCACAGACAGACTGCATCAACATTCTGACAGTGCCAGAAATGTAGGACTAAATTCAGACAACGCCGCTGCTGCTACGGCCCATGTCTGCAAACAAACCATTCAGAATATTTAGCATGCGATTTCACAGAATACACTGACTAACTTACACTGTCGAACGATCTGACCCAAGATATTATGTGACCCATCGAGAGCTGCAATAGTATGTCTATTATTCAGGGAGTTAACCAATAGAAAAGATAATCACTCAATTGTTTACTATTTTTTCAAGCAGGATTTATAGTTTTTTTTGGTCCTATAAACTGGACATCGCTGCATTTTGGACTGCTGGTCAAATAAAAACAACCCCTTTGGGATCAGGGAATTTAAAAGGGCATTTTTCACTATTTTCTGTAATTTTATAGAAAAATTTATTGAGAAAATAATCCTGCACAGTTTGACATGCAATGAAACTGCAAGACCGCTATTAGAGTGTACAAGTAGCTTATAGCACATGCAGTGCATGTGTCCATTTGTGGTGGTGAGACTGCACAGCAAAATTAATCATCAATAGCAATTATGGGTCTGACCTTAAATTTAAAGGCTTCCCATTTTGGAATACCTATGTTCGGCTGGTTAGCAGCTGAGTGCAACCAAGCGTAACCAGCACAGGTCATACCTGTCACTGCCTTGCCTTTACACTCGCAGCGCCCAATTAAGCAGCTCTTACATACAAGGTCTGTCCTTTTCATATCCAAAGCAATATCAGGTGTGATTCTGTTTGTCAGCATTTCAAACCAACACATCTGTACGGAGTGACATTTAGAGCAAACACTAAAATGCTCCTAACAGACATAAGCACACCACAAAATGCATTCTGCGTCATTAAACATTATTTCCAACCTTTCAGTTCTGTCTTCTGAGAATTGCAGAGAAAAGGACACGCATAACTTATTTAGTACCAACACCGTGGAACAGGACATGCATTGCACTGCGGTTTCTGCTCACAGAACCAAAAGCCACTGTCTTTTCTCCACAACAGCCATTTCTTAGAACAGTATAGAGATACTTAAAAACACATAAGCCAGATGTCTGAAGTCTGAAGTCAGCTACATGGACTTGGTGGCTTGGCTGAAGACACATGAGCATGTGGATGCTCGCTGATGTTCTGGTTTGAACCCTGCTCATTCGTCTGAAGGTCTCCACCCTCACAACACCCAGCTGCCTAGAAGAAATGCCCAAGAAAAAGTCAAGGGCCAAAACAAACAAATAGCAGGTCTCTTACCTCTTTTTGGTTTAGGGAAGCTTTCATGCAGGTGAAAAACTACTTTCTCCACAAAGTGCTGAATGTTGCTGTGCTCTGGTCCTCGGACAAACACCATCCAGTCGTGAGTGAAGCCTTCCACGGTGGGTTTCTTTCTGAACTGGGCACGATGACCAAGTTCTAGTTTCACCTGAACAGCACCCTGTGGAATAAAGAGATGTTGGGTTACTGCCCAAATTCAAGAAAGTAATAAAGAAAGAAAAAACTTTGACTAGACCAATACACGTGTTTGACAGAGAATGAAAATAATGTACTGAACAATTAAAAACCCGAACGCCTATGTTAAAGTACATCCATGTAACGTTATAACTCCATTCAAAAATCTGTTAATTTAACGAAACCTTACTTTTGTGCTAATGTACACACACGTGAGAGCCTAACTTTAAACGACGTTTTACTATAATGTAGTATTACAGTTAAATTCATAATAAATACCTCGCATGAAGCAGAAAACATTTCCACCAACTTTATACTAGTGAAATTAGCCCCCACTGCTCTCCACCATGGGGAAACGTTAGATGGCTGTTCAGAGATAACGCATTGAAACCCCTCGACAAAGTTGACGTTGTACACGGTCTACGCGTTACTTCATGCACTGCGTGTAACATAAAGCCGAATTAACAACCATTCTGAAATAACCCTCATTTAGACAAAAGCGAAGGTGTTTTTTGACGGGAAGCAGAAACACGCTGCAACTGCCAGGTTTTTCAGTGGAATTTTGCATTAACGTTACGCTGGTCATTCAGGAGACAGCGGCACGTAACGTTATCGGCTCTAGCTAGCTGTAAGGCTGGAAAATCCTCGTTACGGAGTAAAAACCACCGACTCCTCCGGTGTGACAAAACAGCCAAATGTCCAGCAATATACTCCATTAGACCGGAGGGGCAGGTAAATCCTTCAACAGGCTACTCACCGAGTTGGCCATCCTTGAGGCCCCGCGTTAGTGTTATTTCATGGAAAATTAGTTTTAAATGAGAGTATAGGTGCGTACAGTTCGCCTATGACGGCGGACATGGTCTCTCCTGGACTGAAGTCAGACTCAAGACTTTCAAAGGCTCGCCGGTTGTCAATGCCCCGCATTAACATAGAGATATTCCGCTGCGGACTTTCAAAATTAAACACCTGCAGTGCGACTCCTCTGAGTGTAGCTCCTTGAACTGCAGACTACTGTTAAAGCAATGCTTTTGCATTGATGGTAAGAAATATTACAAAGTAGCCTATTTGCATTTTGTTTACTCCAGACCATGGAACTTGAGGTCATGAGTCCAAGTCGCCCCATATTGAACATTTGGACCAGGCTCCAAAAATAAACTCTCTGAAACTGTTTAAAAAATATGTAACTGTTTCCTATTTTCTTCACTCAGGTAAATATTCAGAGTTGTATTTCCTAACATGAAGCCCTGAAGGCTGAGCCAGGAATAACATTTTAGTGGGAAATTATATTTACTTATTGTTGGCCAAATTTAAATACAGCCTACTGTTTCTTAAAAATACTCAAATCAGCACATAAACACATTTATACTGTTGCAATGTTAGGCTACAATGTAGCCCCCACCTGAAGTTGGAGGACAGGCATGTGGCACATTTGTGTTGCATGAATGTGGTATGTGGTACAATTTACATTGTATGTATTCATGACATAGGGAGCAAAATACTGGCCGTGAACCTGTACAACTGTAATATAACAGTTGGTATTTGTAGTGCGTATCATCAATAAATCAGTCACTGCTGTCATATTTCTTTAAACAGTTTTTAGCACAGTGTACCGATCAAAATTAATGTTTTCTTTTATTTTGAGCGCAAAATGCTCCCGTTTCCGTTCTTTCTCCGCCTCAATTCTGTAAATTTATGCCGCTTAGGGGTAAAGCGCACGCGCAGCTTGGTGTACCCACTGTAGCTGCAGAAAGAGCACGAGACGGAAAGAGCCAATAAGAGACAAGCAGATACACGGACCTCCAATCAGGTGGCTGCAACCGTCCTGTAATTATGTTGCTTTCAGGTCCCAGGGGAAAACCGGCATATCAAGCATATGAGATGTTCATACCCGTTTAAAGCAGTCAAACGCAAACATTCCTGTACGATAATGTGATTAAAATGTTTATTGTGAAAACCAAACATCGCCCCACCTGACTTTCAACAAATAGACCTACAACTTTTACAAGTTTGGATTTGTATGAAATTTTTATGGATACCACTGGAAACGTTTGATAACAGGCATATATTCAGATGTTTTTGTTAAAAAAAAACCCACTCTTAACTTTTTCCACTGTTACAATTTTATATTTGTTGTCTGCATGTATGGTTACTGTAAATGGGCCTCTAAAGGCTTGGGTATGCAGCAACATAACTTAAATCAAAAGGATATGATCACAATGTTTTGAGAAAAAAAACACATCTCTCATAATCTATGTAATTCTGAATTTTGCTTGTTACTTTTGTATGCAAGGCTGTTGTTACCAATATTAAAACAATTTACTCAAATTTAACTTTCATTTCGCTTTCTTTTTTTTATTCCTGATTTTCATGTTTGAAAATGCATGATTTCTCCCGAAATTTAAATCAAAATTCAAAACCAATTGGAAAGTCATTCTCCAAAGCATTATCACACCATGCTACTTTTATATCCGACTGTAAATTATAGTTCTTCATTATTCTTTATTATTTGTAATATCGGTCATGCTCAGGTCTCCCTTGAAAATGAGATCTTAATCTCAATGGGACTAACCTTATTAAGTAAAGGTCAATACTTTCCTTTTAACATAGGCAGCCATAGACTTCCACAGTCCATCATGGAATTAAAACCAGCTGTTAACAGTGAGTTCTGCATATGTATTTAATATTCTATTCAAAGCGTCCTTATTAGGTTTAATGAGAGTCTTCATAGTTAAACTTAGATTACTACCCCATCATTCATTTGCAGTCAATTTAAGAGATGGCGTGTGACGGGCTGGTCTCTGTCACTTTTGGTCCTCGATACGCGCCGTAGTTACATGCGGGTCTGCAGGAGGCTGCATGAATGAGGTAAAGTTCAGGCAGCAACATGAATAACTTTTAATAACTTCTAACTGACAGGCCGAAATGTTACTCGGTTTACTGCAGTAGGAAATATTGCCGACCTGTCTTATTACGAATGCGCAGCCAGTTGAATAGCCTTAGCTTTTGTGTAGCGAACTCCAGTGTAGCTATTATTATTAGCCGATTCAGCTAACTTTATTTGCTAGCATGTTTTTTGTATTTCAGTTTTGTATAATTACAAAGAGGCTCTGGATGTTAAGGTCCACCAAAGGTTTGTGCTGAAGTTAAGACGTGACTGGTTTGGTATGTAGTACGACACGTAGCCAGCATCAGGACCACGACTAGCTTAAGTGAACGCGCTACAGCAAACCCGATTGAAAAATCAGTCCATTTTATCTTCACTTACTTATCAGCAAAGCAATCTGATGCACAAAACGCTACTGAACGCATTTTCTGACAAAAGCAGAAAGCGTCCTTTACTTCGGCACAAATATAAGCTACCAAAGGCCATGACTGGAAAAAAATAAATCAACTTGCTGCTAAAATACATCACCATGGACATGAGCATCATTGTGTTGCTGTAAAACCGTTAGTAAAGGAACTGTGATGTTGGGAAATGTTTCATGCGGTGTGTAATTAAGGTCGCATGAAATAATCATGATAGTGACAGGACTAGTGTTGATGTTCATCACAACAGTAATTATAATACCTTGATGCGCTGGAGTATAAAAGCTGTAGGTTTCATAGAATGAAGATCCTAGTACTCTCTGTTAAAAGACTTTATGAGTCTTTGGTCTGGTAAGATGTTCCTCTGTGGTTTTACAGAGTTTGTTTTGCCATAAATGCTTTCTGTTGAGTTTCACGTTGGAGGGTCTCAACTGTTTAGTAAAATGGCTACTGATTGCCTTTTAAAACTTATCTTTTTAAAGTGCCATGGATATTGATTCAGTGTTAGTCAATCCTCAATCCTTTCATTTACAAAACCGTACTGTCCATGTACAGTACCTGTTTGATTGTTATTCGGTTGTTGAAGTGCCCAGCTCACCTGGGCTTAGGCAATACCAGATACAGATATCATGCGTAGTGGTGAAACACAGCGTTTTATATAAAACATTATATTGCAAACAAAGACCTGTGCCTCGCCTCCCAAACTCCTCAAAAAGTTCAAACAATCTCCCACAAAAACAAAAAGCACCGCTCAGGAATGTTGTAATTTTCCAGCCGGACACAGCAGTGATGAAGAGATTTTTACTAAAAAGTGTAGTAAACATAAAATGGACCTCATCTCCAGTGAGTCTCAGCTAAATATCATGACAAACCAGAAACCAGACAGTTATTTGTGGTTTTAAACTTTTCTTTATGGTCAGAACAAACACTTGATGCCAAACAGTGGATCACTTGACAAATGTGAGGCATAACATTCAAAACTATTATGATAAAATATTTTTTCAACTAATACGCAAGAATAAAAATAGTGAACAGAGCCCATAGTAGCATCCTGAAATTGCTTGTTTTGGCTAGTAAACAGTTCAAAATCCCCAAATAATCACTTTAGGCTACTTTGAAACAGAAAAGCAGCAAAGCTTCACATTTGAGAAGCTTGAAAGAGAATGAGTGGCATCCTTGTTTAATAAATGACTACAACTAGTACTAGATTACTATAATTGCTGATCGGTTTTTGATTGACTAAACAATAACACTAAATTATCGCCCATCCTTAGTAAGATTTATCTAATGAAGTGATCATGCATTAATCAAAACTAGCATTACACCTGTCTGACTGTGTCATATGTTAGAGAATGAAATCAACTTCAGTCATTCTGTGTTGCTATGATTTCAGGCCAGCTACGTTCACCCTGCAGGCCTAAATGTTCAATTCCAATTTAACAACGATTTTTGTTGATTGACTGCTGTAAACATGGAGGCCACAGAGTTTAGCTGCACAGCTTTTTTATTTTTAAGTTGATTTCAGGTGGAAGAAAGGACATTTGGGAGCTGACGAGGAGAAAGAGAGACACTTTTTAAATTATGGCTACTTGTGGCGCAGAATTGTGACGACGGTGGCTATGGAGTGGCGTCGGAGTCGCATGAATTCCGATCTGGGGTGCGTTTCCCGAACAACCATGAAAGGTAGCATTGAACTATGTTGGTACCATCGTTAAACTAACCAACACCTGAAGTACGACCATTTCCCATAACTGTGTGTTCGTCTGACTTTCACAGCAGGAAACTGACAAAACGTTGTGATATTCTGTCTAAATATGTCAGTGGCTGATATTAAGTGACATTATTATGCTAACTTATTATTTAGTCTTTTCATACCATAGTCGTACCGGCAATAACAAGAATATCAACAATAGTGTTAAAACAATCAACAATATAAATAATATATGCCCTAATCATTTTATTACGTTTGTAATACATTTGTATAGCAATAGCAAAATCCATCCATCCATCCATCATCAACCGCTTATCCTGCGTACAGGGTCGCGGGGGGCTGGAGCCAATCCCAGCTGACATTGGGCGAAAGGCGGGGTACACCCTGGACAGGTCGCCAGTCCATCGCAGGGCGCAATAGCAAAATTTTAGAAGAAAAAATTAAGAACTATTAGTGATTCCAAGACATTTAGTAAAACAGGTTTAATCTGCAAGTATCTTCATTTCAATACTTTAACTTTATTATGATCCCTTGGTCGCAAACAATTTGAAGGTGTTGAGAATAGCTCAGCGATAAGAGGCTGGGCTTGAGATCGTTACCTATTGAGACAGACACGGGTTCAACTCCCGTGAGTTCTCTATTTATCTTTATCCATCTGTTATAATGGCAACGACAGTACTTTCATGAATTTTATGCTGTCTCTTTTTATATTTCTGTTTGTAATGAAGACTAGAGAACACCCATCTTCCTCAGAGGCCTGGAAATCTCCGTTTTGTCCTTTAACCTTTGAACTGGTGACTAATATTAAATCAAGTTATTGTGAACAGATGGGTAATCTGAGAAAAACACCTGCTGTTTGTAGATGGTCTACTCTACA